TTATCTTCAGTTCCACAAGAGAAAAATGGCACTTTTTGTTATTTGCTTCGTGACTTCGCTCGCCATCAGCATTCCTATTATCGTCACTTTAGCCACGTTGATGAGCAACCTACTTTACCTGAAGCTACTACTCTTTACGCACTTTGCCAGAACTGCGTCAAGCAGAGCATGCTCTGCGCTTTTTGCCTTCTCCGACCCTCTTCTAGTTGGCGACTTGCGTTCATGCTTTTCAGCGGTACTCAGGGGATTACAATGTCGGTTGCCTTACTGGTGAAGCAGACTTAATTTTGGCATGTGACTGTCTGACGTTCAATAGCTTCTCAGTTGGGGCATCTTTTTCTAATGACACGAAAGGGCAGAAAATTACGTTGTCCTCGAAAGACATTTTAAGCTCAACTATGCCCAGTATTAATGGAGGGAATGTGTAGCTGTGTCTTTTCTATTTGGATATAACTTCAGACGCACTGAATGTACGTCCAAAATATTATTTTCTATGTTATAGTAGTAGTGTACAATAAACTACTATTAATATTATTTTCTTTCGTTCTCTGCAAGAAGCTCATCTCCCGATTTCTCTATGGACACTGAGCTGTGCCTTGTTTGCGATTTTTCATCTTGCCTCATATGCCAAGAGGGAAGGGTATTGTTTTCTGAAATGAAGACGGTTCGGCTATCATTAAGCAATCTGAGGTTTTTGGCCGGAAATCCGGCTTTCATTGTATTTTTAGTGTCCTGGTAGAGATGAATATTGTATTTTGCTAAATTAACTATCGGATGAATTATTTTAGACTGTTTTGTACCAAGCAAGCAAATATAAATGGGCGTTTCCAATCGAAACAAACTAGAAAAATACGGTTATAAGTTTTTCCAAAATGTAGTTATAGGAGATTTTGATAAGTTTAAACGCGGGAATAAGAGCCATTAGCTGCTAATACGAAGGGCCCTACGCGACGTAAGAGGAACTAGCAATATTCCTGTGCCCGAAGACACGTATTAACCCTAACACTATCCCTAAACGTAATATTAACCCTAATCCTGCCCCTTATCCTAGCCTAAAGGCTATCCGTTATCTACCCTAGAAATTAGTGCATAAGCCCCCGAATGAGTGGCTCCTATTCATGTGTCTTCAGGACAAACCCGATAAGTTTTCGGAACTTGGAATTATGGCCGTTAATCACTTTGAACTAGCCACTGTCCTTAACCAATCAAAGCTCCATTACAACAGGCATACATAAAGATTTAAACACTGATAATTTAGATATTGAGCAGTACCTGTAACCCATTAGCCTCGAGAAAAAACGGAAATGCCGATTTACGCGGCTCCATTAGTAGAGTTATTAGCCTAACTTTTCAAGGATTAAGTCGCATTAGTTCAATCTCAGAGCTTCCCATCCTGCAGGTTTGGGTAATTAGTCAGAACTTACCATTATAGCTTAGGGAGACGCCAGTAGGCTTGATTACGAAATTATAGTTCAAAAATTCCCAGCCGAAAAGTCCACAAGTACCGTAGATAAAAAACGGGTACTCAAAACAGCATGCACCGAGAGATTGAAAAATTGTAGATAATGACCGACAACTGCAACTGTCGACACCTTGAAAGATAGTCGGTGAATTAGTCACAAAATATACGGCAGTTTTACTTTCTTTCTACATGGTAGACGTGCAGTGCGCAGGTTACCTCATTATTGTGGTTCAAACGAACAAAGATTGGCACAAATCAGCAAAATAAGCCAACCGATGTGAATATAAAAAAACTTCAGTAAATATTGCTTACATGGACACTCCGCCCAAGCAACAAAAGTGGTTTTGCACATATTTCCAGGATGGGCAAATATTTCCGTGTCCTAACCCTACTAGTAGTTCGACCATCGTTTTCGACGATGTCCCCCACGAGCTTCAGCAAGCTGAAGGCAGACGCGGTGACTTTAGCTGAATTATG